TTTTCCTTAGATTGATTTTGATGGCGAGCGCTGACTTCGAAAGGCCGCCCTCTTGATTTTATATAGTGATCGAACTCTGGAAGAGAGTGCAATTGGCTAGTTTCGAATTGCAGGCTAAGTTGAACAAAACAAAACTGAATTGCATCGAGATTCGGGGATTAATAATTCATTCCCTCAGCCTCGTAAGTTTTATTCTCAACTTGCCTATTTCCCTGCCGGTATTGTGAACTGAGAGTGGAGGCGGTAGTTTTTCGATCTTGTTTCCTCCGGCATTATACACCCTAATGCCCGTCTTTTCGATACTTTTGATACCAAGGTGGAAAGGCATTCCTTCATAGTAAGCGCTCGATTCCGACGATTTTACGGGAATATAGGAGACTGTAAAGAACTTACCACAATTCCAAATATAGGTCGCACTAAGGAGGCTAGGTTCTGGTTGTCCCCAAGTTAAATCCCGCTCTGACCTCTTGCGGGTGTTATTTCTCGGAAAACTCTTCGCCAGTTCAACTTCTCATAGTTTCAGACTTGTAACTACTGAGGAATTTGTCTGTGTCATGCTTATGGGATAAAGGTTGTCACATATTCCTTACTCAGTATCAAAGCATAAAATGCTCATTCAGTCATGCTCAGTCCTAGTCTCCAAACGCGATCGACAAAATTGACAAATGGCCTTTCTGAAGTCATCAATACCAATTTAATTAAGGCCGTTTATGAAGTTAACAGTACAATTTAACGCGTGTCTCCGTTTAACCTGCCATGAAAAATAGACACCCCAGCCCCAAAAGTTTTCCGTTTTGAGCGTTTCTTAACATGTCTGTGGATTATCATATCTTCAGAAATAAGGAATTATTAAGCAAACTGCTTGTAATCTCTTCTCCTCGACAGATATTAAACGAAGGAAAGGACTTAGTTGACAGTGATATTGACTGTAAGTAATTAATCATGATTACCATGGCCGTTTATGATTGGTTGAATGATCACGCCCAACTTTCTCATTCAATAGCTACCGTAAAGCCATTCCATTCTTCCAGTTGGTCACACCGTTTCCCGACGCAAAATCCGGCCGTTTATGTGTATTTATCTTGAGATCTGCGGATTAGTTTATTTGAGCGCTTGTTCGAAATGTGATTGGTGAGAGTCATGACGACATTCTTTCTAAGATTGTTATTGTTGCCAGCTTTGAGTAGCCTTGAAATATCGCACGTTCATGTTTTTAGCGAGTATTTCAATGCTGACGCCGACTACGTGGTCGCTCAAGCACCTTAACGGCTTATGTCACAGACCCTCTGCCCTTGGGTGTTGGAGAGGTGAAAGGCTTCGTCACATGCCAATAAATTTTATAATTCTATTAAAATGGAGTCACCCTTGCGCTCCCTCGTAGCTTTTTCCGCCTTCAGTCAGAATGCGGCGGGAACTAGAAATGGTCGGTGGCAAAGAACGGAAATTGAGTCCAAAAAAGATAACTGCAAAATCTAATGCAGCGCACTTCAGAACTTAGACTGCGAGCAGTTGCTTCGGTAAATTATTTCACTTTTCACTCTTAAAAAGGGTAGATTTTTTTTATCATCATTATTACTATTAGTACTCTAAAGGGTTTCGTTGATCGTTTGTCTCAGTCACGATTGTCACATAGATTTTGGTTGGTTGGTGGTTTACAATGGAGACTGAGAAGGACAACACAATTCCCTTTCTTGACACATTGGTCATAAAAGATTCAGAAGGACGCCTCACTACAAGTGTTTACAGGAAAACTACGCAAACTGATCAGTACCTGTCTTGTGAGTCACACCACCCTCAATCAGTTAAACACGGTGTTGTCAAGTGCTTGTATGATCGATCGAAAAATATTATCACCAAGCCATCTGTTATCTCTGAGGAAAAGAAGCATTTATCCTCTGTCCTTGTCTCTAACGAATACGGTAACTCCTACTCTTTTGTAGCTAACATCACGAAATCCAAGAATCAGCCGATATCTAGTAAAGACCCCACAACCGAAATTAAATCTACAGCGGTTCCACCGTACCTCAAAGGGTTATCTAAACCACTTCGTCGTTGCCTGCAAAAGCATGGCATACGATCTGTTTTCAAGTCCGATACAACATAGACTTTCAAAAAAGTCCTTCGTCGGACCTCTCGCGACTTCGTCGCTCGCGGTCGGCCGCTTCGCGGACAAAAAAGGCTCGCTCCGCTCGCCAAGAGGTCGACTTGTAGCAAGTCTAGATACGACACTAAGATCACACTTAGTGCGACCTAAGGATGCTGTTTATATTCGCGCAAACAAGATGGTGTATTGTATGAGACTCATTGTGAATGCGGCAATATATGAATTGGCGAAACAGGAAGGTACATGCATGAACGGGTTAAGGAGCACGATAAGGACATACGGCTTTCGCCAACTCAGCCGTTTCTGAACACGCCAATAAGACCTGGCATTATCCGCTCTGGGAGGAGGTTAAGTTCATGGACCGAGACCCTCACTGGTACTCTCGTTGAATTAAAGAGGTTACTCGCACTAGACATCACCATAACAATATTAACAGGGACAGTGGAATTGAGATTCCTGAAGGGTGGATGCCTACGATCAGGCAACTTAGCAGCCGACCGCTACCACAATGGATCGCTGAGGAAACAGTTCCCTTCCCCCCCCTCTCCCCCAATAATGCCAACGATGCCTTGGATCGAAACCCACCAACGATAAGCGCGATTCGTGATACACCAATCACTAACAACCACGGTGGTATAAAACGTTCTAGTCAGTAAATCGACATTATCACCTGATGAAGACCTGCAGTATGCGTTCGAAACGTCGCGATCAGTTTCTATGTGAGGCAAACGATAAATGAAACCCTTTACAAACATTATCCTCGATGAACAATATCTTTCATGACACTATTATTCTTTAAGTATAAAGTTTCGTAAGGGCTGCCCTTGCTTTCGAATAATTGAGCAAGTGCTGTGGTCTTGCAGAATGCAGAAAAATAAAGAACAAAATAGCGTTTGCTTCTCCTTGGTGTGATTAAAGTTTAAATCATTTAACAAAATGACCCTTTTTCATGTTATTTCCAATTTCAAAGTCCCTGGCCTCAGCCTGATTTACCTTACGTTTAACTGCATGCGTTTAGTTGCGTAGAATATCACGCACAACATTCTTTCCCGGTCTTGATTGCAGTGTATGATATAGAGAGTGATGAGACTAAGATTGGAACGCTGACCGTCACAGTGGAAGCGTCGGAGGCTCTTTTGGACTTGTACAACGACGAATAATCCCATCGAAAGAGATCTACTAATGCTTTTGAACTTGTGCAATGATGAAAACTCCTTCAAATGTGATTCATCGCCTGCGCCCGACGCCGTGCTGTTCACTTTATTTCACCCAGCCAAAAGGAAAGACTCCAACAAGTAATGGAGTTTGGTTATTGCAAATACCTGCTGAGGGGCGCTCTTTGTCGGATGGATACATCTATCAAACTCAAACGCGAATTGTTCGCTAATACAAAAAAGGGTGAAATTTGGAAAATTCAAGGACTTCAAGAGACGAAACAGAAGGTTAACCTTAACCTTTGTATCCTACACTTAATTTATTTTTGGAATTAGCAAATAGCGCTATTCCCGGCCAGAACATGCGTTTGTACTTGGTACTGTAATGTGAATTGACTAGGTCTGCATTCGCAAACTGACTTCGCTTTGGTAAGAAACTTGATCGAATGTGTACAGACAACGCTCGTCAGATAATCAGCAGACCAAGTTGGCTACATTTGTGAGAACGGATATTTCTTATGGCTAAGCCGTGTTTTATCTTGACCAGCATTTTATAGCTATTCGAGCATTTTTAGATCTTAACTTGCTTGTAAATATATTATGTATTATATTTTGTGTCTTAACTTATTTACTGTAAGTTTTTAGCAAATAAAAATCACTTTAAATTCAGTCTCCCATCACTATTTTTTGTCGTTTTATTTTTTCAAAGCCAACATTCTGCCAACGCCATTATGACATAGTGTAAGGTGTAGCTGATAATTCTGTGTATTATCCTATTTAACTATATCAGGAGCCCATATGGGCTCCTGGCTATATCACATTCTTTAGTTGTTTTTTTTTTTCTTTTTTCTGTTCCTGCAATGTAACCCTTATCATTTCCCAACCTTAAAACCATTACGGAATCGCGCCTGTAGATTTTGCGGGCGACACGGATCTACAGGCGCCGTTCCGTAATGCTTTCATTAGTGGCATGTGGTTATTATTCCTTCTTGCTAATTTCCTTGCACCAACCTAAATTTGTTTCTTTCCTTCTCTTTGGATCTTAGAACAAACACATTTTTTGTGGCTCAGGCTCCCGTAAAGATATTGAAAACCTAGACAACTGGTAGTCCATTGTCGTGTTGAAAGATCAGAGCGAGCGACATATCCATGACTTAAGCGGGAAAAAAAATTCGCTCTCGTGCCTGTTTCTCTTCCTACTATCCCTGAGAGTGAAAAATTCGTAATACACCGTGAAAACAGCCCCACTTTTAGTGGGTTTTACGAGAGTAATATAATAATTATAACAGGAGTTCAAAAGCCTATACAACGGCGTTAGTTTTTTACATCATTTTTGAGAACCTTTCCCCCGAAAATGGGGCGTGGAGGCTCCACTTCCCACAAAATGTGAAAATCTGTCGTATGATACAGTATATGATAAAAAAAGAAAGAATATGCCATTACAATATCAGATATTGTGTTTTCTGGTCTCCAGCTATCGCTAACTTTTTTTTCAAATTTATTTGATAGTGGAAATTTGCGGGAAAACCGCCTATTTAAAAAAATTGGTCTGTGAAAACGCCGTTGCATGGGCACAAGGGAGTTAACCAATCCGGGTTATGGGCTCCCGTTTTCAATATATACCAGTAACATATATACTCGTTTAGATTAGTGTACTCGTTTATAATTCTGTGTTTATATTTTTGGCAAATTTGTCTTGAGCTAACTCGTCTACCATAAACGAATTACGAGAAGTACAACAGTTAGTTTGCCGCCATCTTTTCATCGTTATCTATCAGACGGGCTCGCTCCACATTATAGCTCCCCTTTTTATGTACACGGTACCTCCACACAGCCACGATCAACAGCACTACCAAGCAAAGGAAACCCAGCACTCCACCGATAAGCGCGACCAAAAAACCAGTGTTGTCGTCATTATCAACCTTTTAAAGAAGTTAAAAGTATTTAGTAGGTAAAACAGTTGATATTACTCCACCTGAAAATCCAGTCATTTAATAATTAGAATTATATGCAATTGATGCTTACTCGTACACTAGACTGATCCAAATAGTTTTTCCTCATACATATAATTGACCGTCATTTATGATTTTTTTTTTTGGGCCCTCCGGCAATAAAATAATCAGGGCCGAGTTGTTCAAAGCTGGGTTAAGATAACCCAGGGTTAGTGCGAGATTTGAATTCACATTTGAAAGCTTAAAAAGCATTTCAGTTTTAATTGTTTTTGTCTACAAGTTGATGACTGGAAGCTCTAAAAATAACCGAGAAAATTATCCGAGAAAATGCTTTTGATCGGCCTTCGAACAACTGGGCCCAGGTTACTTTGTTTTGCGAACACATACCAGTCTTTAGTACCCCCACTCCCTTTTGAGCATTTCTCAGGTAAAGAAAACATTTCGTTTGCTCTGTATTGAACCCAGTTAATAAATATAGTAGTATTTCTTACCTTTTTGAAAGTGCTTAAGAAGATGCGATGCACTGCGTTATCCCAAATCTTTCGGTCTCGTAACTCAAGCTCGGTCAAATTATCACACGCGGACACCAGTAACCCGTGTTTTCCGACGGCGTATCGATCGTACTCGTCAATTGAAAGATCGTAAACAGTAAAGAGAGTTGCTTCTTCGGACAACGCAAGTAGTTCCGAGGCCTTAAGGTGAGCCTGCAGTTTCACCATTTTGCCATGCAAACCCTGAAGCGAATGTGACGCTGTTACATTTCCAGCAGTCATCCAGGAGCCAGTAACAGTCTCAAAGAAAGGATGTTCGCGCGTGACCCAGATGTCTTCGTCATGCATTCTGAACACAACTAGATCCTTCTCGGTTACGTTTCGTCGCCGAACCTGGTCAACGCGACGCAGGTGAGTCACGGAGGGAGCCTCATTCTCATGTCGAGTCACGACCATGTCTCCTTCCTTGATAGTTTCGATCGGTACCAGTCCTCTGGCGGTGTGAACCAAGGTGTCTCCTGTGAAGCAAGACTTTAACAAGCAGCAGTCATGGTGCCACTTAGGGCGACACTGGATTGCATCGGGAGTACTGCAGTCACACGTCTGCGGAGGGCAGCACTTTGGACACTGAATCGTGTCACACTCGCTCCCCACATAAGGAGGATGGCACTGGCATTTGTAGGGATCTTCTTTACACGAACCATGGTGGCATGGGGTCAGGCAAAATTGGATTATCTTGCAAGGTCCTTTGAACATATTAAAACCAGGGACGTGGATTTCATTGGTCCACCCATAGTCGCAATAACATGATTTGCCCTCGCTGTCTAAATGACATCGCCCATGAGCGCATCCATCGCACCTCTGTTCAGAACATAGTAGACCAGTATAACCTTTAAAAAATGTCAAATCAAAGCGTATTCGATTAGTTACCGTTTTTACTATTTCGTGTAGTGCCCGTGCAGTGGATGGCTACAGCTATCGGCTCTGGGCACAGGTAAAAAATATATATAACTATTTGTTATTTAGTTGGCTTCTCTTGAAAAACCACTAGCAATGTTTTTGTGTGGCGTTTCTACAGGAAGGGGAGGTTTTTTGTGAGAAGCAAGTACCAAATTGATTCGAAAATGAAAGTGATTGTAAGCAAATGTCAACACTTGGAAAAGATAAAAAGAGGACAAATGCTTTCCTGTTGTTTTAATTGACTCTTCTCTTTATTCCAGCCACTGAGATACTTCCTTTCTCACTAGATAGACTTCTAAACAAGTCTAAGAACAGGTTCCTTTCCGAGAAAAAAGATCCTATCCTAACTAAATTGACATCACGTTTTCAAGAGCTCGTGTAAACAGGATTAGAGAACAAACAAACCTGGTTTACACTTGCACGTATAAGGACCATTCTCGCAGGTCCCCCCATGAGAAGAGCAGTTGAGGCAAGGGCCTTTGTAAACATTGCATTTTCCTGGAGGCCCCCAATTGGTCTCACACTCACACACATCAGGTTTTTTGGAACATCGCCCATGTTCACAGGGCACGCTGCATCCAGTGATGGTTTCACACTGCTCCCCTAGATTAACAAAGATGGGAAATTGCACCGCCTTTTTTTAACATGGGCCTGTTCGCTATCCTACGAGCAGAGGTTTCTCTCTTGCACGACTTTTAGCGCTAACGAAGTCGTTCGCGTGGCTTGTCAGCCCAGTAGTTGGTTTGTTTTATACGCCCCAGGAGGGCGTTTCCAACTACGCGACAGACAAGCCACGCGAACGACGTCGTAAACGCTAAAAGCCATACAAGAGAGAAACCTTTTTCTCGCAGGGTGGCTATTTGCGGGACCAACAGACCTATTTTATAAACGATAGTCATATGTACTGGTAGAGAAAGTTATTTCTTTTGCCTTAACCGAAATGTTTATCATTAACAGTTTTTACATGGGGCTGAGCATGATGCCAAGAATTAGCATCAGTGATCGAGGCAGATACCCTCCGAGATCTGCATAATTCTTCATATCATACGAAAGCCTAAGCCAATAGGCCTTTTTACCCTTTTTGAATCCCGTACGTTTTTCCTTTTTATGTTTAAATTTGGTAATCCAGCGAGGATTAAATAACAAAAGCCCTAATTTGCACAAGAAAGCAAAACCCTGAAGGATTCTGGTTGTAGTAGTAAAATGATGCCATCGTGCAAGTGGCCTATAGTTGTTTCATTATCATTCATTCAAAATATTTCCAACTTCAACAAAACATGCTAAACTCGATCTATTTAAGCTCCCGTCGCTTCATAAATAACAGGACAGGAGAGGAAAGAAGACTGCAAACCCCAGGGGCCCCACTCACATATTTTAATGACGGGGGGGTCCGACAGAGGTTCATATTTTATACCCCAAAAAATCCCAACTTCAGAATTTGTCTACCCAAAAAAATCCCTACTTTTTTTAGCATACCCAAAAAAATCCCTCAGTGTTTTTGCATCAGCAAATTTTATTATTTATCTTCTGAAAAGCTAAAACATGCCAACTTCAACTTTGGTTTTGGTCAAAAACAAAACTATAAATTGCGCTTATGTTATTGCTGATTTGAGCTGATGAAAAATACAATACCCAAAAAAATCCCTGTGTTGTTTTCGCGACCCCAAAAAATCCCGGCGTCTTTCATAGACCCCAAAAAATCCCTCTTGGCCAAAATGACAGACCCAAAAAAATCCTTCGGACCCCCCCCTCCGTCATTAAAATATGTGAGTGGGGTCCCTGGGCTGCAAACCTTGTGTGACAAGCGTGACAATAATTTTGTTCTAAATAACTTTTCGCCAAACTTCTCTTTCCTTTAAACAGATATATTTTGTGAAAGACCAGAAAACATTGATGTTAGTGAAGATCACGGCAAAACACGCAAGTAATAGCCTTGTCACGTTCGTCACGCACAAGCGATTTGCCGTCATCTTCTTCCTGCCGTCCAGTTGCGTAAACTCACAAATTTGGCTGGTCCTCGGCAGTGTCAGGATATGAAGGGATGCTTATGCCAATCATGCTTTATTCCTGCTATCTAGTTAACTAAATTTTTTATTCTTCGCATAGCGTTTGTCCCTTTTTTCTGTTGATTTCAGGACAATTGACGTCAATTGTACTGATATCAGCATTTAGCTTCCAAATTTGGTCAATGCTAGCTAGTTATAAAGAATAAGCCAGGCCAATCAGGCAACGTTAGACCAATCAGGAAAGGAGAAATATTTTGAAAGAAAAAGAGATGTAGAGTTCTTTTAGAACAAGAAGTTGAGTTAGACTCGCTAGATAACGTGCAAGAAAATAAATAAATCTAAGTTCAACATGATCAATTTGAGCCAGGACCTACTCTGTTCCCGGGACTCTGTCGCTCTATTCTAATTTTGATGACTTTATCACATTTTCGCACCTAAGATTTTACTTCTTGCAAATAGCGTTTCATAAGTAAATGTAAATATTTTGTCTTTGATTTAATGAAAATCGTAATCATTTAATGAAACTTGTAATCATTGTGAAGGTCCATTGTTTAGGGACCTTTTCAAATGAAGTAAAATGTATGCAAAGTATGTAAGGAAGCGCGAGATACAGGAAAGCTAGGTGAATATCAGGATTTACAATTTTAGATTTATTTAAGTTCATTTGCGTACGTGCAGATGTCTTCATGCATAAAGCAAAATCAACCTAGCCTGCGAGCACGCTATTTTTGATCCGTTTGGTATTTTCCTTCACTATTGTTTTATTCAGTTTAGTTACTATAGTGTGATCTGTAGCTCCCACCTGTGTAATGTGGTGGACATGCGCAGTGCTTCTCATCAACACAGTAGCCTCCGTTCAAGCATTTCCATCCTTCGGCACAGTAAGCCCTATGTGTAACGCCGTGAAAATAGATGATGTATTTCAGTAATGGCGTTGATCAAGGGCTATAATAGGAAAGTGTCCTACTATGATCTCATGCGTTGATTGAATACCTAGTCGAATTTGTAGAACAATATATACAAACATTATTACCTTTCACATTCTTTGCCATGAAAATTTTCGTAACACTCGCATTTCTTTGGGTCGTTTGGGCATGCGCCATATTTGCACGGAACTTGGCAGAGCGAGCGATCACACAGGTCTCCCACCCAGCCAGGCTCACAGTCACATTTGCTCCTAGATTGCTTGCAGGATCCATGATATCTACAGGGAAACCAGGGAAAGCACGAACTAACATTTTCACAGTTTGATCCAGTCCATCCTGTCTGGCACCGCTTGCAGTGTATGCCATCAGTGTCGCAGTAGCCGTGTTTGCAAGTAGCATTTAGTTTACAGCCAATACTCTCGCAACATTCTCCAGTGTATTTGCCAACTCTAGCCCGCTCGTAACACTCACATGTCTGTGTCTTTTGGTCGTAGTTGCCATTTCCAAAGCACTGCGTATCTGGGTGGCAGTGTCCATTAACATCTAACACGAAGTGGAGAATCAAGCAAAGGCCTGATCCAATATTAAGAGTCTTGCGCATTTTGACGAGTTTTGCAAGAACGTTGATCGATCTACCAAAAAAATTTAATGTGATCTATAATATAAATATTGTTCAAATGAAACACTCCACAAGAAAACCTTATAGGCTTACAAAGAAGATGTTTAAGAAAATGTGACCCCCATCCGAATAGCAGCTCTAGTTTTCACGTCCGCGCGTGATCACTACAAATTAACCTGCGAGCAAGCTCTCCATTTGGAGGATATCGTGAAAAGTAGACACGCGAGAGGAGACGCGAAAGCCCCTCGGCTTCGCTGCTCGCTCGCGCGTTCTCGGGCGGCTCTCTTCGCTCGCCCAAATAGGAGAGCGTGCTCGCAGGCTAACTATAAATTGGATCGAGCGACTATCCACCGATATTTCAGAAAATTATTCCTGAAATGTCGTAGGCGGCATGATGTTGTTTGGATAAACCGACAAAACGCAAACGGAAAGAATTCTTATGAAATTAATGAAAACTAGAGGTGCAACTCAAATGTTCTTCAACGGAAGTGTGATAAGCGTCGTGACATCGTAGCTGCAAGACCAACAATGAATGAATTATTCAGTAACGATTGTCATGTGTTGGGAGGCTGAACAGATGAAAGGTTGTAAAGCCAGAACAGGTCAGTCCCAGGTCAAACGTCGAATTTCACATTTGACCAGCCTAATGCTAAAAATTAAAACCGTATTGTTTCCGCTCATTAGCATTAAGTTCAACGTTTGACCCGCCGATTCTCTTTCGCTGTACCAAACTTGCATTAAGGAAAGAAAAGACGAAGAAAGCGATTTTAACATCTTTCCTGTAAACTGTTGTTATTAAAAACGGTTTCTCGTTTCTCGTGACTGAATATTTGCTGATATGCAACAACCTGTACATGCGGGCTATTTCCTGCTAGGCAGTTTCTTAGGTGGGAGGTCACTTTTAGCAGAGCTGCCTTAGTGTTAACAGTATATAATTCTTTGTATTAAAAGTATTAAGTGTATATATGGGTGAAATGTCTGAAAACTGTAAAGTGAGCCATGGCAGATAGGCGAATCTATTCTTTCAGCCAGCCAATACTACCAATGAAGGTAAATAGCTTCAAAGAAACCTAAAACTGACAAAGCTTTTATAAAGGTACGAGGCGTGCAAAATTCTTCGCAACTGACCTTATCACATGTAGAAAAAAAGTGGGGTAAAGTAATATTGAAATGATTTTCATATCACTAGAGAATAGTCGAAGTTGTTTCTCTTCGATAAATTTCCTTGGTGCAGTGGTGTATGTAGGAACATTATCTTGTAGCTGCACATTACAGCAGTGCCAGAAATTTGCCTTTTTAACGGTGTGGGCATTACTGTTTGTAACCAAGACCACTTTTTTATGAGTCTTCAAAAACACATACAATGCGTAAAAAATAATCAGTCATTTGATACTTAACTTCGCGGGTGCCACAGCTCAGATAAATTATGAAAATTTCATAAATTCAGTTTCATGAGTCGATACGAATGAGAGTTGTTAAATCTCTATAATTACTGTGGCAGATTATTGGCAATTGCCTTATGGCAAAAAAAATTAAAAGTTGCTCACAAATATTTAACTGAAATACTACTTCACTAGGTGGCTTATGGTGTACATGTTGTAATAAATGAGAGCAACTGTACAGAAGACACTTTTTTCGCTCGTAGATTTCCTAGGAATAGCACACAACGGCTTAACCGCAGAATACCCAGCTATACCTTGCCACTTTTAAGTAACCCAGGCATTTACTTACTTTTCACTGGACGTGGTTTCTCTTCAAACGCGCTCCGATAAACGCCGAGAAATGTCTAAGAATTTGAAAAGGAAATATTATATTTGTTCTTTTCAAGTTTCCCGTGATTATCACTGGCCTTTACAGATTTCTACGTTTGTGTGGTCACGCTTGTAAGCACGCGCTGCATAGGGTGAGATGTTAGGAAACGAAAGAATAAACTAGTAACATAGTTGTCACTACAAGACACAGTATCCATAGATTCATACGATTCATACGATAGGCTTTTATTTTTCAATACTAACTTCTGAGACAATTAAAATCACAGTCCTTGATCACCTGTGTACTTTTCGCTCAAGGTTTATAAGTTTTTATGTTTAGAATATTGCTTCAAAGCTACTACCAGAGAGGCTGCATCTGATCTTGAATCCCGGTGACATCAATGACAACATAAGATTTCGACCACGGACTATACCTATTATAACTACATAAACCGTCACCCATAGCTGACCTTGGTCTGACAGAGGGGGAGGTCGAGTTTTTAATAGGTTTAGATGCCTTACTGTCAAAATGAAACATGCTACAATGATCAAGAAAGCCCTCCTCCCAAGACAACTGTGTGCTTTCTGAATTTTTCCGCGGTCACATTTTGAAAAATACGAAAATAAAATGCAAACTAAAAAAGTCCAAACAGGCTTCGTTTCCTTTACAACAGCTTGTTTACTTTCATGCATTCTATCATTGTCACTGATCAATTCTGTCTCTGATACTGCCATTGAGGTTATGCTCTGCACACTAATTCTAAACTTAGCTGAGCGCGAATCTGCTACAGGAGAGAATGTCTGCAATCTTCAGCCTTTTCCTACAATTTTCTTGCAGCAACGTTCTATTTCGGTTAAAGCCTTAGGAGTGGGCCACCAGTGGCTGTAGCTCTGTACGTCGCTTCTTGTGGCCACGATACTTGATGATGAGAAACAACGCCACCACCAGACACATGGCAGCCAGTACACTTCCGATCACTATAGCCACGGTGGGACCTACCTCGCCTGAGTTGCCAGTATCAGAGCGATCGTCGTTCAAGTTCAGCTCTTCTTTGGCGACCTGGTTACGAAACAATACACAAAAACTGTCACAGAGATATTCGATAGACAAAAAGTGTAAAAGATACCTCGCATCCACGTTATTTCAAATAATCTAAAAGAGTTTGAAAACTAGTTTTAATAGATCTACATTACATTATACTGATCCAGGGGTATGGATGGTTACTGTTGGACAACAGAACTAAGCAAAATCCGTGTTCGGGGTACGGACTCCCGTGTAATTTTATCCAATCAAGAGTCAGTATTCACGCAAAGCATAGTTAATTGAGTGGAATGGTTATGAAACCCGTCAGATTCCTTTGTTATATGTTTTTGTGGACCTGAAAGTGCACAACGTTCAAAAGAATTCCTATCATTTTGATTGCATTGACCAATAAAAACGTTGCATTAATTTATTCCGTAACAATTTGCCAACAGAAAGCAAAGGATTGTACACTTTCAGGGTGCTTCCAACATAAACTGCAGCACTGTTGTTTTTATCATTGATGTTTGCCGCTTTTTATAACCAGTCTCCTCTAATAACTATGCGCAAAGATATTCGATTTTTGTCGCCCTCATAGACAAAAAGTGTAAAAGATACCTCGCATCCACGTTATTTCAAAAGGACTAAAAGAGTTTGAAAAGCTTTGAAAGTTAGACCTACATTACTTTATGCTGATCCAGGGGTAATTGCCTGTTTTACCATAGCTCTACGACTGGAAGACTTAGTGTGCGGTATGTTTTTCTCTGTCAACGCCTCTTTGCCTTCTGGCTGACTCTTTAATTCAAACCTCGCTTTAGTTACCTCAAATGTCTGTGTTTCACCAACTGAGCTGCTATCGAAGTTTGGATGCGCTGCTTCACCCCAGACTTGCTTGTCCCTGTGCTCCAAGTCATCCGAGTTGTTACACGCAGACACGAGCAGCCCATCTTTCCCGACGGTGTATCGATCGTACTCATCTACGGATAGATCGTAAACAGCAACAAGACCAGACTCGTCGGCTGATGTGAGAAGTTGCGACGCCTTCAGGTGATTCTTCAGTTTCACCATTTTACCATTCAAACCTTGGAGAGAATGCGAGGTCGTTACATTCACAGCACTCATCCACTTGCCGGTTAGAGTTTCAAAGAACGGATGGTCGCGCGTTACCCAGATGTCCTCCTCGTGCGTGCGAAACACAACGAGATCAATTTTTGGCACAAACTGCTTCCGAACTTGGTCAACACGACGCAGATAAGTCACAGAAGAATCGTCGCCTTCATGACGAGTCACTACCATATCGCCTTCCTTGATGGTTTCGATCGGTACCATTCCTCTGGCAGTGTGAACCAAGGTGTCTCCCCTGAAGCAAGACTTCAACAGGCAGCAATCGTGATGCCAAGTAGGACGGCAGTGAATATTGGCAAGAGAAGAGCAATCACACGTCTCTGGTGGACAGCACTTTGGACACCTAATCGTGTCGCACTCGGTGCCCACGTATTGAGCAGAACTACACTCACAGCTGTAAGGATCGTGTGGACATGCACCATGAACACACGGCACCATACAGTATCTGATTATCGTACAGGGTCCGTGCAAGGGATCAAATCCAGGGACGTGAACTTGGTTGGCCCAGCCAGCATCACAGGCACATGACTTGCCGAGAGGGGCCAGATGGCACCGTCCATTAACACATCCATCACAAGTCTTTTCGGAGCATTGTGGACCCATATATCCTTAGAGGAAAGGGACGGGAGACAAGTCAGATATAATATCCTACCTTGAAAAAAAATCACCAAGAACTAGCAGCTGTGTGACGGGTTTGATTTTTTTAGCCTACGAATACAGCCGTCTGTCCTCGCTCCTCATGACCACAAGGGACTTTCCCGCGAAACGTACCTTGAGCTGTGAGGAGAGACGTCTGTACTCGTGGGCTTTTTTCAAGGGCATCAATGAAAAATTTTCCCTGCCAACAGTCACCAAAATTATAGTGAGTACTGGAAATAGCACTAAAATCTCATTTAGGAGTAAAGGACATTGTGTATCATCATTCATACCTGGTTTACACTTGCACGTGTTAGGACCATCCTTGCAGGTTCCTCCTTCAGAGGAGCAGTTGAGACAAGGACCCTCGTAGATACTGCAGTTTCCTGGAGGCCCCCAATTGGACTCACACTCGCACACGTCAGGTTTGTGGGTACATCGTCCATGTTCACAGGGCACACTGCATTCACTGATGGTCTCACAATGTTCCCCTGTATTCACACAAGACAGACGGAATTTTGTATTAAATAGATAGGGTTTTTTTGGTTTGTAAATCAATAAATTTCAATCACATTTCGGCGTGCGGATAATATATGGAGTCATCTTGCGCCCCATGTTAGGGAATCTAAGACAGTCTTGGATTCTGGATTCCTCGCCGTGAATTTCAGATTCCAGGTACTGGATTCCAGTCATTTTCTGTGGAACTTGGATTCTGGATTCCAATCTTAGGATTCGGGATTCCAAAGTCCAGGATTCAGTATTTCACGAGCAAAACTTTTCCCGGATTCCGGATCCCACAAGCAAAAATTTACCGGATTGCGGAATCCGGATTCCCTTAAATGGGGCGACATCTTAAAGGCCGGGGCTATTGTCACGCCATCTGTAAAAGCAGAGGCTATTGTCACGCTATCTGCGAAAGCCGGGGCTATTGTCACGCCATCTCTGAAAGCCGGGGTTATTGTCACGCTATACCTGAAATTCTTTTTGAACTGTTTTTAAAAATCTTTAACTTTTTGTTGCATCAATTGATTGCCAAAAATAATGCTCCAGATTTGTAATTAATGGCCATAAAAGTTTGAAAAGGTATTGGAACTGCTCACTGTCGTCTGTTGCCGGCAACAGCTGGCAAAGGAATTTTAAAGTTTTAATTTTACCGTAAAATTCCGAAAATAAGCCCCGGGGCTTATATTTTTCAAAAGCCCTTTTTGAAGGGCTTATTTTTGGAGGGGCTCATCTACGGAGGGAAATTTGCGTTTCAAAATCGAATGGGCTAGCCTTATAGTTGGGAGTAAATTTACCGTTTTGGCTTTGCTTTACTTTATATTTGAGGGCAGTTTTCCAAGTACAAGCCCTCGGGGGGCGTTATACTTGGAGGGGTGATTTAACGGAGGGTTTTTTGCGTTACCGGATGGGGGGGCTTATATTTGGAGGGCTTATACATGGAGGGGCTTATTTTCGGAATTTTACGGTATGCCAGAAAAAATCACCAAAAAGGTTATTTTGGTTACTGCTCCCTGATGAAATTTGTTTCATATCTTCTTCACAGGAATAGTTGAATACATGTATACGTTTAACGCACTATAAGTGACTTCTGCACAGAGTTGCTCTAAAACAACAATACCATGCTCATACCCCCAATTTTGAAAGTTGTTCTTAATAGCCACTTGATACTATACACTGGCCACCGCGCGCCTGCAACTTTTAATTTAAAAATGGTCAATGCTATTATCCCGGGGGGGGGGTACACCTGGGAATTCTTGGTGGGGGTGTGCCGCCCGGTTCTCCAAATCCTGACCTTATTTCAGACCGAAAATTGTCATTTTTTACACCCGTTTTCAGACCTGGTCTCTGAGAAATTATGTCACCACCATTACTTAGGTTTAGAATGTCAATGAGAAAGATGTCTTAAAATCCACCTCGAATTCGCATATTTCTCTTTCTTTCTTATTCATTTGGAATTGAAACGATAAATACTTTCATACACTGCCGTAGTTTCCTCGAAAACCCTACCCGATTCCAGACCAAAACGGATAAAGTCTATACCCGTTTTCAGACCAAAACGGCGCAAAAACTATACCCTTTGGGGCGGCACATACCTGTATGGCTTATATAAGGGAGAACCCTCCCCCGCCCCCCGACTTTTACAGATGATCGAAATGACGTCGAAATGTTGAAAGTCAAGTGATACGAGTGCTTTTACTCTGAATTGACGGTTTTAAAGGTTTATTCCCGGCAAAGGATCTTGGAAAATCGCGCACCAGAGACAGAGAAACAAATTGCGCCATCCAGTTACGTCGTTTCAAAGACTCACCGGCCAGAGCTCTCGGCCAATCCGTACGAAAAAACGAAAAGTGAGCCGATTGAAAGAACTGCCCGAAACAGTCAACTAAAGATTTCGAATCGAAACACATCTAATATCTCAGGTATTTTGACATGTTATCATTACTGTTGTCAGAAGTAATCGGCTCCTGCTGTTGTAACGTTTTCTAGTTGCTAATCAAATGGAAAAAAAGAAATGTAGCAGCGGTATTTAGTCATGCCGGCCGTTCAGTTATAAGTACTGAAACACCAGCCTCGCTCCCAGTCGTCCTCGGCGATTTCGGATGTGACGTCACCTGTCAAGCTGGTCGGGAAAATTCGCCGAGCTATCGCGCTCGGTTCCAAGCCTTCTCTGGTAATTCGGATAGCGCGAACTGGCCTGGGTACGAGGCGGCTGAAACACGCGTCAACGGGCGGACTTGTTTTTGTTTTCTATGCTTGAAGCTTGAACTCACCCGAATAGTTTGGAGGACAAACGCAGTGGTGGAGATCAACACAGTAGCCTCCGTTTAAACATTCCCATCCTGCTGCACAGTACGATCTACAAATAAGCAGTCAGAAATACTTCTGCGGTTAGAAAAGGCAGGAGCACAAATTATCTGGGGGAGGGGATGATATCAATAACTTGGTGTATCTTTCGTCAAGCACCTGGACTAACAAGGTATTTTAGCAGAGGCCAAGCATTTCTGGTCAATTTAAAGATGCTTTTTGGGTTGAGATATTTTCAAAGGTGAGGACGTGCCCCCTGATCGATGAACAAGTGAATAAGTGCATTTATTAGTTGTACCAGGCTAAATAACATATAGATTTAGCCAAGCTAAAAGCGAAGCTCTTGATAATTTTTACAGTTTGCTCAAACAAAATATGAAATCGTATAATGTTAAGCGGCGAAGGCAACGAGAACGGTAAAAAAGCAAGTTTGCACGTGCAGCACACTTTTTTTGTACATTTCTTTGCCGTTGTTTTGCACGACTGTTACATGAAACTTCCAGACACTCCCTAGTTACACGTTTTATGAAGGAAATGTCGGACGTGTTCTTGTTCACTCTTTTAACTGTCGCTCATTTTCACCCTGGTGGCCGCTAGCATCCCGCCACTACAAAATTTCATATTGTTCCTCCAACAGAAAATGTCTCCTTTTGTTTTTTCTCTCTCGCTCTAGCTCCTTTGCTCGTTGAGCTTCGCTGGCCTGTCGCCCTACTTTCTCTTTTTCTCTGTCTTCCTCTTTCTCTACATTCCAAATTTGTGGACATGACAATTAATCTAAGCTTAATGCTTAAAAAAAAAAACCCGTATACAGAAACATTTTCCGCTTTCCGTTCTCGTCTTTATTGACTCTTTAGTTGTGTCTGCTTCACAAGACGCGGGTGGCCATACGCTTTCACGCCAAAATAACCTGAGATTTAGCTTCGACTTACATGTAGTGGGTGTACGGACGGTCGTTCGTACGCTACGTCATAACCAAATTGTCTCGGATGGACAGTTTATCAAATTTTCTTACCCAAGGTGCTCCGCTGTCGCGCTTCGAGCGCGAGAGCTCCGCTAAAAATGTAAGCCTTTACGAAAAATAATAATTATTATGTGTGTTCGAGAAAAAAATTCATTAATTAAAGAACTTTTAAAAATACATCATTTTCATTTCGGATGTTTGAGCTTGAGGTAATTATACAGTGTAGGTGATTATAACCCCATTGGCTATTATACTTTGAAAAATTCCATAGTATTTTCAAATTGCTGTTCAGTGAAGTTCTCCCCAAATGGCAATTTCAGGATATTATGACTTTTTTGCGGGGGCCTTTGATACGCTAAAAGGAATCTGTTTGGACCGTAAAACGCTGAATAATTACCTTTCACATTCTGTGCCATAATAATTGTCGTAACACTCGCATTTCTTTGGGTCGTTTGGGCATGCACCATATTTGCACGGAACTTGGCAGAGAGAGCGATCGCACAGGTCTCCCACCCAGCCAGGCTCACAGTCGCATCTACCCCTAGATTTCTTGCAGGATCCATGATATCTACAGGGAAACCAAGGAAAGCACGAGGTGATGTTTTCACAGTTTGGACCACTCCATCCTGTCATGCAGCGCTCGCATTTCTCTCCATCAGTGTCGCAGTAGCCGTGTTTGCAGGTCGCGTTTGGTGATGTGCAGCCGATACTCTCGCAACATTCGCCAGTGTATAGGCCCGTTCTTTGGCGCGCGTAGCAGCTACACGTCTGTGTTGTTGCGTTGTAGTTCCCATTCCCAAAGCACTGTGTATCTGCGAGACAAGCGCCTTGGATTCCTGGTATCAAATTTAGCAGTAGAACACACAATGACAGTCCTGTCAAAGGTGTTAGCATCTTTGCTTTGAAGTGTAACGTCGTTCAGCCTGTTAAAAAAGGGAAAAGTTAGCAATTTTTATTTCAAAAGGCAAATCAATGGGAAACAGAGGCAGACAGTTTTACTTTTCAATGACCGTGTAAAGTGATAGTTTTGTGAAAGTAAAAGTGAAACTGTGCAGACACTTGAATGAGACCCCAAAATTTCACATTTTTGAGGGGGAAAAGCCCCTGTTTATTTTTTCGCTCTCTTTCCAGGTTTTTGTCAGCAATCTCAATTCCGATAAATTGTCGTCATTGGAAATAAACCGCTCTGTTTACGTGAATTCCGCGATTTTCCCACTTGCACTTATCGTCCTTATCAATTCCGATGTGCATGTGCGTGTCTTTTTACGCTCCCAGTTACTGTTAATTTCTTTTCAAATTCTAATGCCCGACTCAGTAAGAATCCCTTAAAAATAGTAACGTATTTTGAATTCATTATAAAATAATTGTAATTAATCTCGTCTGTAATTTCGTAATTATTGTATATCTTTATGTCATTAGAATGATAATGCACTGACCTGCCTGCCTTTATACTACCTGCCTCGATTAGCTCCGCTTTTTTGCAGGTTTTCTGTATTAATGTTGTAATTTCAGTAATTTATTTACTGTGAATGTAAACAAGTAAAGCTTGACTTATTACTTCCGCTTTCGCTCTCGTTTCGAAGGCGGCGGTTCCTTTCTGAGAAACATCTACAGTGTACGAACAAGTGGAGGAAGAGACTCAAGCATAAGGAAAAGGAATGTCGTGATCAGCGAACGCCAGGCTCAATTCAAAAAAATTCGTTGTTCATCGGTCGTATACATACGTTCATTGAAACTATTTGTGATCAAGAAATTCCAAATGAACACTGAATTGATTATTTGCTTAGATCAAAGGATGGGTAAAGATGCGCTGTTGGCTCTTGCTTCCTCTTTCACTTAAGATCGGGGAGCAGCTGTTTTCTGAGAAATATTTGGAAAAACCGAGAAGCTCCTTTTGGTGAAAGTAACAGTTTTGCTTTACCAAGAAAGAAATTGAGAATCTCAACAATTGCTCCAACTGATTGTATTAAATCACTTAAACAGTAAATGCTGGAACAACAACGAAGAACTGATTACCCCCTTACGCGCAACACTGAGAACGATTTCCAGCGTAACAAATGAAGAACAGAAAGCTTCTTCTTCAAAGGGTTTTAACCTTCGTTTCCGTTGTTTTAAGCAAAAAAATAAAAGACGTCTGCACGCAGCTTGGCTGAAAGGGCTTTGGTGTACTGGTTTATATTACAGAATACAGCACACTGTTCACTTACCCGACTGTTTTTAACTCCTTCCTTCGGGCTTCCTTGGCTGAGCGATATCAGTTGGAAAAATTGGCAGAACTGAGCTACCGTTTTTAGGTGAACGTTGCTAAATAAAACCTGTCAGTCTTAAACATCATGTGATGGGATCTTAAACCAATAGCTGCTCAAATATTTGTTTACGCACCGGTTGGGGAAGCCCCTATCTGTCTCTCTCCTGGCAGCAGCCCATAAGCTTATCGACTCCTGATCCTGCATATTTCAACCTTTTTCCACTTACAGCGACTGCATATGAAGAACGAGACAAAGAAAAGTACACCATGAGTTAAAGGCCGAAAGTTGCATGACAACACGTAGCTTTCTAACTTGGGCGATACATAATAGTGGAATAGGATTGGGTGTCCTTTTATATAGAATCTTACAAGTTTCTAGCCAGAATATCTATTAGGGAAAACCCCCTTGTATTGTTCATGAAGTGTGAATAAGTCATGTGAAAGTCACCTGACTTATTCACCATCCATAAACCAATTAGTTTTTGTCAGCGCTGATGAATGAATATTTAATTAGCTGAAACACGTCACTAAAAGAACTGAGCGTGCGCAATTTCCGAGAATCCTTGTGCAGACATTCAGTGTAATATAATAATTCTGTTATTGACCCTCGGCAGTATTTATAGCACTGATGCAAGTGGGGCCGAGCAAATGCGTGAAACAAATAATTCATATCATGAAACTTAACAGGGTTAAGAATCCCAACTGGCCAGAGGCAAACCAGCTGGCTATTTACAAGCATGGCTGAGGATTTGAACTCGGAACAACCGTGAACAAATCCAGCTGGAGGTCATAGTTGGACTTGAACTTGGGGCCTCCGAATTGCAAGTCCGGCGCACTAACCACTCGGCCACGCTGCTCCCCTGGGTACCAGAGGTTTTTCTCGCGTGCGGTGCGAATTTTCGGTGTTGGCCGAAGGCCGACACATCTTCGGCCGTAGGCCAAAGCCACGAGAGCGGGTCACTATAAAGACGGATAAAGACTTGACAGAAACCGGAAACCGCGCTAGAAAATTCTCTGGCACCCAGGGTACCACGCTGCCTCCTCACGCAATAAGGAACAGACTATTAGAAAACTTACGGGGGAGCGGGCGAAGTACAAAAAAATATTCGCACAAGGGAAAATTAAACGAAAAAAAAAATTATGCAGGCCAATTAACCCTAAGAAATATTCATACTATGGCCTAAAAAAAATTCATACAAGGAATTTTAAAACGAAAAAAAACTCCTGCGGCTCGAAAATTCCCCCCCCCCCCCCCCCTCCCCCCCCCCCCCTATAACTTTTCTAATGTCCCCCCCCCCCCCCCCCCCCATAACTTTTCTAATGGTCCGTTCCTAAAGAGTCTTTCCTCAGTGACGCAAGTCATCCGGAAGTGAGGCCATTTATTTCCCTTTTAATACCCCTTGACGCTCGCTATAAAGAGTCTTTAGGCTAAAAGAGACAATTTGCCCCAAGACGTTTTGGATTTTGGACAAAACCATTGCCCAAGAACCGAATCTGATGAATGCAAAAGGTCCACTTCCGGTTGACGTGCGTCTACGCTAAATGGCGCAAGGCGAAAGCGAAGCGAGCCGAGCGTAGCTGCTGGAGGAGAAAAAAATAGGCGGCCACGCTCTGCTCGCTTTTCTTTTTCGCCCCGTTCCTCTTGGGAGCTTATTTGCAGGCTATACCTATTCTATCTTAATAGATTGCTTTCACATGACGTTATACGGGAGCAAAACAAAAGTTTTTCTGTTGCTATTGAGTACCTTGTTTTTTATTTGGCTGGTTCAAGGACGTGTGGTAAGCGATTTTCTAAATCTTCCCTAGCTGAGAACTCTAAGTAACTAACTAATATCCAATCTTTCAAATAATAATCAGTGAACACCTCTGGGCCCAGTTGTTCGAAGGGCGATCGATTAGCGTTAACCCGGTGTTAAAGTTTAACCTGGGTTCCTCTCTCTTTTGCTTAAAATCATTTTCTTGAATAAACTTCTCCTTACTTTTTAGAGCATCCAGTCATCAAATTGTAGACAAAATGGATTAAACTAATTTTCTTTTTCAGCTTTCATATGAGCTGCTAACCTTACGGGACCCTACAGCCTTGCATAAAATTTGCCCTTGGGGAGAGGGAATCGCTACAAAGTATGGCAAGTAAGGCTAAAAAGAGTAGAAAAAAAAAAGATATTTTCCGAAGATTATCATGGGGATAGTGCAAAGCCATCTGATTTTCGAAATCGAATTTCTGGCTTCCTCATGTAAATGGCTAAATCTACCCGTCTCCCGCTGTTCTCGTTTTAGTTAAAGGAAGTTTACGATGCTTCGTTTTTAAAACTGAGGGTACAAATTAAAATAGCTTTTCTCAAATAGTTTTTTTTCTGAGCGCCCTCATTGTGAAACTATCTCAAAACTACATCTTAGTTAGAGTGTAGTGAAAGGCACTAAATTGTTTTCGCTTTAGCTTAAATCAGTGGATTATAAGTTACTTTTAGCTCTAAAATTGAACACAAGAAGGAAGAGTAAAGGTTGGATAAATTGATAAACAGTTTCTTCTATCTAGCTTAACAGGGGCCGATAACAGCATTCAGTTTGAAACAGTACTACGTGTAAGTTATCTGCGGGGAGCTCCCGTTGTTTACAATACAGTGGACGAAATGTCGACATACTAGTATTGAGAAAATACAACTAAGTTAGTCAACAAGGAATCGCACTCAAATTTTAATCACGTAAATAAAATAGAGGCAAGACAAAAAGTGCTGAGCTTAAACTAGAAGTTGACCGAGGTTCAACTTTTACGCCTAGAAGCGACCTTTCATGCATTACCTCTATTTTATTTGCGAGCGCAAATTTTACGCACGTACGCACGTAAAAATTGCGCGACACTGAAAATCAACCCTTAGCTACACTCAGTCCATGAAATTTCTAAGTCTCTTCAAATTTCTACTCTCCTAATCTTTTCCTAAGTCTAAGTCCCTTCAACTTTTTTTAATAGAGAAAAAAAGGAGATTGAATGTGACATAAGCGGGTTCCGAACCCTCGGTCCTAGAAACCGAAATCCATCGGCTATAGTACCACATACAAATTCTCCAAACTGATCTCTATACATTTCCTTCAAGAATAAGTTGAGAGAATTTGATAAAAGATCAAGGCATTTTGCCTTAGGCGATCATTTTATTAATTCTCATAACCTTATCTCTTGACGTTGTATGGATATCGTTAGGAGAAAATTAACGTTAGACACTGATAAACCTAACAGTAAATGAAAGCTAGCCATTTCGAGTCAGTGCTTCAAGCCCTTATCACTATTGTCAGTGTTTAACCCTAATCACTAAAACGTTTCTGAGAAGTTTTAAAATGTCACAACCTATAGCTAACTGCATAGAAATAATTAGAGATTACGTAATGAACTTTAGAAGAGTTATTGCAAAATAAACGTCATGTCTTTAGGCAGGGGCAGATACAGTGAGGACTGTTGCTAGTTACTTCCAAAAATTCACTGTTAAGTTAGGCAGATTTATTGGCTACGGTTTAAAAAGTCGGTCCCATCGCATGGAGTAATGGTTCATTATTATGCAAAAATGCTAAAAGCACTCCAGAATGTTTTCTCAAATTGTGAGCAATTCAGTAAGCCTCACGTAATATGAATCATAACACATCAATATCAATTCGGAATGCTGAAAACATCAAACCTGTTTCCGAA